TGATGACATCTTGAGGGCAATAAGCAGATGAAATACCTTTTTGGGTATGTGACGATGGCTAGCTTCTCTCTGGAGGCTAACAACCATGAAGGAGAAAGGCGCAGAGGCAATCTAGTGCCATTTTCCAAGCTCCCTACCTCCAAACAAGCCCTCTCTCATGTTGAATTGAGCTGGACAAGTCAGCTCGTTGGGTAGAGCTTACATAACATCTCTCAGAGGGGCTGAAATTGCCTCTGCCTTGCACAGAGCTGTTACAATTTCACTTGCCATTACTATCCCCTACATTAGGAGTTCACTTCAGCTACAGAACAAAAAAATTCTGAAAAACAATTTTGACACATAATTATTTTTCAGAGGTAGGGTGAGAACTGAGGGTCTCGGAAACAGAACAATCCCTTCTAAGAAACCACTGCCCTTTTTCTCCCTGTTTTCTTCCCTTTTTATGGCTAAGTATGGAAAAAAGAAGCTGAGCAAAAAAACTAAAATGAGACCTTTTTGAAAAATACTTCTCTGTCCAAGTCTGCAAGATGCTTTCTAGAACTGATGAGCATTTCAAATGAAGTTACTTTCACTTCGAACCTACTGTATAACATGATGGTAATTCCTGTATCCTGGAGGCCAAGCTGCCTGCTGGCTCCCAACATGGTATTAAGTAGAGCAAAGTCATGTCATGTTCATTTTTCCACCCCTCTCAGAAAGAAATACAAATTTCTTTTATCTACATTATAACCTTAGGTCTCTAATTAAATACCATGTCTGATCCCTATAGATAGTGTTCTCCTCTTTGTTTACATGTCAGTAAGACCATGGCTTTCTATTTCCAGTTTATCTTGTCTTTGTATTAATATCAAGAGGCAAAACCATATTTAAGATTCTTAGTGTGCAGCTTAATCCACCCCGACTACAATGTATATTTATTTCATAGATATACTTACAGTCCTTACTGTATGGAAAATAACTGTAGTATATTATATATTCTTCATTCCATTTTGATAAAGAAGTAATTCTGCAGGTATCTTATTTTTTCCACCAAATTTTGTGGGGTAACCTTTATTTTCAATACGTACTTTACAGAAGAGCAGAGAATTTTGCAAACTGTTACTTACCCAGTCTACCTACTCCAGGGACTCTGAAATGCCAGAACATTTTGAACTCCCAGATGGTTACTTAATTTGTTTTAAATCATCAGCTGGAATGGAAACTGGGACACCCAGGCCAGGAAAAAACAAACCCCTTCACTAAGGCAAGATCTAAACTTTCCCTGATGATGGACAGCCCATGAAATGTGTCAGATTCCATGGGAAGAGTACACAAAGATAGCACTGCAGTTTGAGAAGATGATGGCAAAAACCATTGGCTGAACATGCTAAAGGTCTGCAGGGAAAGTTGTCCTGTTGGTATCAGACATTTTGCAGGAAAGAAATCACAGTGACTGTGATCCTGGAGGAAAATGATAAAATCTATTTGTAAAAATCACAGAGGCAAAGCACTTCACTACATACTAGAGAGGTTTGGGGTTTTTTTTCCTCTTTTAATTTAGCAGTAACAATGTCTACAATACATTGACTCACAAATTAAGTGCAGGTATGAAACCACATTCTTCATACTGAGATCGACATTCTAGACTTTCACTTTTTAAATACCCTCTCAAGGGGGAAGAGTTCTGAGCGTCCAATGAACATCTTTTGAAACAACCAGTGGTGGGAATTTCAGTTTTAACAGTGATCATAGTGAGCTCTGTCCATAGAGATCAAAATCCTTTGCAAACGAGTGCATAGCTCAGAATGTCACTGTACAGATAAAAAGGGAGGGAAACTGAGGCACGGTGCTGTGCAGGGACTTGCCAGGATCAAGCAGCAGGCAGCAGAGATCTGGATAGAAATCTCAGCTCTCTGGCTCCCAGTCGATTCCTGACTCGCCACGCCACAGTCTCCCGGTAGGTGTACGTGGGTCTCTACTGTCCAGCAGTTCAGGTGTTATACAGGTAGATCTTCTTTCACCTCTCCTGCTGTCCCATTGGCTCCATTCAATCCTGCTGGCTCCCTGCCTTCTTCCTCTTCTTCCTCTTCCTCTTTTGTTGTCTCTGCGTCTCTGCCTCCGCTCAGGAGGGTGGCACTGGAGAGGTGGCCGAGGAGCTGGCCTTCCCGGCGAGACTCGGCCAGCTCTTTGGCACAGCACACCGGAGTGTTGGTCTCGTAAGTGCTGTGGAAGCTGTTATAGTCGACTTCATAAAAATCCTTCTCCAGGGTGAGGACAGGAGTGAAGCGATGTCCCCACAGCACCTCGGTGTCCATGTAGGAGCTGCGAGCCTGGCAAGTCATCCCTGGGTAGAAACAGAGGGATGTTAAATGCAAAGTTTCCTTACATGCTCACCCAACCACTTATTTCATTTAAAAGCACTTTCATGTTATCTCCATACCTGAGTCTTCGCTTAATAATCCTCACAAAAGCCTCTATCATGAAATAGCTGAGCACTCAAAGGAAAAAGGCTTCATCGCCGCATCTTCAGACTGTTTCCTGAACCTTGTGCTTATGGGTTTGAAGTCTGGTACCACTAAGCAGCTTCTTTCTGTCCTCACATTGCTCTGTTGACGTGTTGCTCGCTGGCTGATACTAACAGCACTTCTGGTGAATCATGCTAGAATGACATCCACCCCTCCCAATGCACCTCAAATCCTGACCCACGCAGCCCCGAAGCAGAATGAACCGCTGTGTCTGACCCCGTCCCTCTTCATCTACAGAAGTGTCAGCAACTCCCTCCTGCACTTCGGCTGAGACACCAAGTGCTGTAGCCTGAAAGGTGGAGACTTTCCACAACTCCACCTCTGACTCCTGCAGCCCAAAGTACACAACCAGAAATCTAAAGCAATGCATACGGGGAAAAATACCTGTCAGATGCTTCAGTGAAGAGCACATTGTGTATTCTCAATATGCTCTTAGTTGTGAGCTCAACTAAGTGACTGAAATCTTGGAGAAATCAGAAAAATCCTTTCCTTAAAAGAAGAACAAAAGGGCAGCTTTGTGAAAAGACGAGTATTTTCTTCTCACAATTGCTACAATCGATTCAAAGACATCCACACAAGCAAGTTCTCTGGAAAGCTTTACTTGTCTCTTACTGCTTTCCTTAGCTCAAACCTATCAGGCCAGGATTAGATAGTTGCTTTTGGTTCTTGAAAGGGGAAAAAAAAAAAGGGACAGTGACACATGCAACAGTTTGAGAAATTTCCAATTCTGTTCCAGAGACTGAAAAGCCAATTTTCCCCCCCAAGAAGATCTGCAGGAGTATTTGCTTCTGGGCAGGAACAACAAGTACAGCGTTAGTCACAGTGTTCTAGCGTGCGCCTGCTTCCTGGACCGGAAGGAACCAGGAAATGCAGAGGCTGCTATGAAAATTCCCCCAAGTGTTTTTGCTTTAAGGAAAGGCTCTGTGAAGGTACAGCATCTTTGCAGGAAACTATCAGCTTCTGCTTTACAAGTAAAAAACAGCCTGGAGACCACTGCTGAGTATATGCTTCAGGTGACACTACACTGGGCAGCATCCCATGCCCTGGACTCCTCAGTCCTCGAGGTGAAGACTGGTTGATCTTCAGTCCCTTGTACCAGGAGCAAAGAGCAGCTCAGCGCACAGAGCACTCCTTGAGCTGGGACACCCAGGCCAGGAAAAAACAAACCCCTTCACTAAGGCAAGATCTAAACTTTCCCTGATGATGGACAGCCCATGAAATGTGTCAGAGATTCCATGGGAAGAGTACACAAAGATAGCACTGCAGTTTGAGAAGATGATGGCAAAAACCATTGGCTGAACATGCTAAAGGTCTGCAGGGAAAGTTGTCCTGTTGGTATCAGACATTTTGCAGGAAAGAAATCACAGTGACTGTGATCCTGGAGGAAAATGATAAAATCTATTTGTAAAAATCACAGAGGCAAAGCACTTCACTACATACTAGAGAGGGGTTTTTTTAGAGACATTTTTTTAAGGACTCTGTCAGAGTCCTGCTAATTTCCGAGTCCTGCTGCAGTTTTTCTCAGGCGAGCTGTGTCACTGACACTGATCACACCGTTGACCTCCCTGGGCCAGGGCTTTTATCACCGTCTGCTCTGAGGGTCAGTAAAGCAGGGCTGCAGGGCTAATCACATTTTCCGATGCTGTCTCATGCTGGGAGGCCAGAATGCTGGATGACCAGCAGCATGTGCATGTATGGTAAGGAGTTAAAATCAAACAGCCCTTTTTCCTCTAGACTGAGCTGGTTTTGAAACAGAAAAAGGCCTTCAAGTGCCTTCTCCAAGCTCTGAGCACTTTCAAAGCCCAGCAAAGAGACCACTCGGGCTCACAGGATTAGGTCCTGTGAATGAACTCGCTGATTCTTGTCGTTGCCTTCCAACTGCTGCATAAAGGTACCATGTGGCTGTCCCCAAGGCCAAGATGGGGTGTCCTTGCTAAGTGTGGGGGCCTGAGGCACCCTAAGGGAACTTCTGCCTTGTAATCAGGCCCTTGAAATAGCTCCTTCCCTGGGGGGAGTACCTGACAGTGAACTTGAACTCCAGAGACACAATCATAGTTATCTCCTGCTGTAAGTATTCAATTAAGGAAGGAACAATAGAAAGCTTTCAGCAACCAAATACTGCACACTGCCAGCTCCCCGCAGTAGCTGCTTTCTGTAACCCCAGGGGTACACGGAGCCAGCACAATAAGACAACTTGTAATTGCTCCATAATCCCATTCAAATATTCTTTTTTAGCACATGTGCAGTGGTGTTTTAATTGCGTGGGGACATACTGCTTGGCAACTCCTACATTACTCAGTAAACAACAGCATTGTCTTTGCTTCAAATTCCATTAAGTGCCTGCTTTGCAGGCTGCCCTGTGCTCTCCAGCCTGGTTAATTAATGCATCTGTAATGTCCCCAGCTAATTATTGCCTCTGTAACTGCAAAGAGATGACAGAAGAGGTGTGGAAACAATAAACCTTACTTTTATTAAAAGCACATGGATGCAGCCACTTTCCACTTGCATACAAAGTGCACTGTGCCCTCTGTGCTCTGAATATCCAAGTTTCAGCTTGCACTAGACTAGGATCTTACACCCATGGCTGTGGGCTCTGCAAAAATCAGCAGTTTCATTTCATAAGTCTCACTTATCCGAGCCCATGGGACATCCTGGGTGGAGGGAATCGTTCTGTCGTGTGCTCGCACCCAACTTTGCCACTGCTGTTCCACTTCAGTGCAGTAGCACTGTCTTGCACAACCCTTGAAGCACTGACATTTAGGAGAGCACAAGAAATTGAGGGAGATTTCAAACTCTCAGCATTTCTTGCAAAAATAAGCATAGGATTGGCCCTGATAAAGTCTGTGAATCCTCTTCTTAAAGTATAAAGTATATAACCACGCATTTTGGGTTTCAATGTTACAGATATTTGGTACAGTTATAGAGAAGTGGTGTTTGGTGATTTGGGCATTTCATTTCAATAAGCTTCATGCCAAAAGAACATCCTCATTTCCCTTTTGCCAGTCTAAGTAGATGTGCTTCAAAACTTATTTAAAAATAAAGTCACGGAGATTTTTCTTTTCCAAGTGTATCATATTTTCTGGATAGTAACACCATTAGAAGTTAAATTTTCTCCTAAACAATCTGGTTTAAAAATGAAAAAGTATGTTTAATACAAATTTGTACGATCTGTCAATTGTGAAAAATGTGAAATGATATGTGAAATCTTCAGCTTTCAAGTTTTAGTTACAGCTTTCTCATCTTTTAATTCAGCAGCTTAGCTTTCAGTTGCAAACAAAACTCAATTTTAATTGAAACCAGAAAAATGTTTGTAAAAAGTTATAAGCAGATGCACCACATTTTCAATAAAGCTGGAACCAGTTCCAGGCTTTTTAGAAAGCTGGAGACCAGAGGACTGTCTCCTGGTTTCAAGTTCTGCAATAAATATTTCATAGAGTTTTAAGGATAATTTCATTATAGCAGAATCCTAAGAAGTGGATTTTTTTTGTCTGTTGGCTGGAGTCACTACATCACGGCATCAATAACAGAGTTTGTGCATATTCCTGTTTAGGGCAGCCATAGATACCTTCTTAAAATGCTTGTTTCTGGTTTCCAGTAGATGAAAAGATGCAAAATATATTGGTATGTGTATTAAAGCAGGTGTTTCATTACATTTGAGAACAGAGAGTGGCTCGAGAAAGACGGGTGTGGGTGTCAGAGAACTCTACCAATAAGGCACTTTTCTGTCATCAAAATAAGCCGGGATCAAGCAGCTGACATGGTATCAAAGACAAAGGAACGTTCATACGTGCTGACAAAAAGCAGCTATTTGAGGGCTCACCCGGTGAGGAGCCTGTTTTTTCTGCAGTGCACTCCATGGGAGTTGCAGATTTCCCAACGTTTCTCTGCTTGCAATGCCACTGATTATGCAACTGGAGCAGACGCGCGTCTGGCTCTGCCAGGCTGCTCGGAAAAGTGGTGATTGCTCCTGATTTCCAGGTCTTGTATACCCTCAGGTTACCAGTTAAAATCAAACTTCATTATCACAGGCCGAATCTAACTGCATTTGCAGCTGTTTGGTTATCCAGAGATGAACCAGCAGTCTCTCTCCAAATGTTGAGGATGCGTATTTTTGTCAAACAGGCTGTCATTGCCAGTACCTTTACTGGCAGTTTGAGGGGAGGGTGAGGGCAACAAGACCACAAAGCATGATCTACCAACCCAAGAAACTGCCACGGGCTTCAGTGTGATCACAACAGCAGCGTAGTTGAATCTTTCAGTACTGCTACATGGCCTGGACTTTCTCAGTGGGTAGAGATATCCCAGCCCCTGGGGCTGTCAAGACAACATTTTTCATCAGCCTAAAATTAACTCTCCTCATTTAAATGCCACAGAGCTTAGTGATTATCTGCTGGCAAAATGTCATGTGGCTGCTGACTGTATGTTAGCCATATTTGCTAGGCTCTCTCTGCAGTTCAGACACAGACACTGCTGGAAGTGATTTCATTTCTCTGTCCTTGTTTCCATACTCTATTGTATGCAGGGTGACTTTTTCCCTTATACTGGATGCACGTAAAGCTGCATAATACACACCCTGCTCCTTCAGCTGCCCTCTGTTACACTGCAGAAGTACAGAGAAAGGACTGATGGACCCAGAGGTATAGTGACAGACTGCTCTAAGTTAGGATGGCAAGGAGTAGTTATGCAAATTTTAAGTTCTTTCACTCTAATTAAGCAATACTTGTCTGTAGATTAGCATCAGCATTTGGATAGTTATAAAATTTATTAGTCGCTTTGCGTTAATTAGACCAAAGAACACTGTAACCACCAAAAAAGTCAA